TAGACGTGAGTAGAAGTTAATATTCATACAAAAAAATCTATCTAAGTCTAAGTCTATCTCCCAATTTATCTACTGTGGATATTATATCCACCGGTGTGCCCATGCTCTAAGGGTGGATAAAACTAAGCGAGAGGATAAACATTTTTTCCTTTCCCCGGGTATAAAATTGTCTCCTGCCCATGCTAGCCCTGCTGGGATGGTTTCTTATCATCCATTCATTACATTCATCCATTACAGCACATCATTTCATATCTTATCAGGTCGTCACTTCATCTATCCTGGCCCACCCGTGCGACAGCAAAAGCTGCCTTGTGGCTCTTTCACTCTCATGTTGTCTGCCTATTTTATTAAGTGTAATCTACTTTGTCATTGTATATGCGTTACTCATAATACTTAGTAGTAAGTAGCTTTGCTTTATTATGCCCTGCAATGGGCGACAAGGAGTTGATAATGAAGTAGTTTTGCACATTTAAAATATTTAGTTTAGTTTAAATAGGGCCCCAATTTCATTTTCGCCCTAGGGCTCTTGGTTACATAGCTGTCGCCACTGTCTGTGGCTGTTTATCGCGATATAAATCTTAGGCTTTTTTATCCGCTTAGGGGAGATATTGTTCTTAAGATATTGTTGTCACCAACTGTACGCTGGTTTTACCTGTCATCAAAATCTCTGAGAACTTTGCAATGTAACGCATCAGCATATTGTAAAGAGATTTATGAACAAAATACAAGTTATACAAGGGTATATGGTGACTTTGTCTACAGTAATTGGCGAATTGCAACATTATTAACGACTCTTTGGTCTGTATCTATCTCATAGACATAGTATCTTATAGACTAAACATTCAATGACGTCATCAGCGTGTGAAAGGAATGCACGTATATAGTTAGACATAAGAGTAAGGGAGAAGCAAATCTATATTTCTTATCTTTTTCTAGGTATGCGTTTTTGATTGTTTTCCCTCCTTTATTTAACATTAACGATGTCAAGCTCTTTTGAATAATATTGATATTATAAGCAAACAGGTAATTGAATTTAGTGTTTTTTGTGGATCTTAGTTATTAGATAAGGTGAAAAAGATGGTAAGTTGTAGCATTTTAGGATGCAACAGCATCAGTCAACGAAAAATTGATAATATTACCTTTCATCGGTAAGTTTGTTTTGTGCTTACATTTGCTACTTGTACTGATTAATATCTATTGTTTTGAATATAAAGTGTAACATTTCATGTTTTTAATGAACTTTGTGATGTATTTTGTCAAATATTTGGACTCCAAGATTGTAAATTCTTCATAATAATGCTCCTTAATTTGAACGGTCATTCGATAGCTTAAAGTCATAACAAACGTGTACTTTTTGATTTGGTAGGATTATAGAAACTTTAGGGATATCAGCGAGTACAATAAACTTTTCGCAATGTTCAATAATAATTGTTATTGTGATTAGTAGTTAAGTCCATAAATATGAATCACATAATGTTATACATATACATACACTTTTATGTTCTGCTTTAAAGGAAACTCCTCATTGCCCTACAACTCTTCAATCATTTTCCATATTACATAGACGTCACAAATAATATGTAAGTATCAACCTGAAAACATGTTTGGATTCAAGTACATAAATATTGGGCAAAGTATATTTAATTTCACAAAATATGTATTGCCTGAAATCAGATGCACAAAACTTTATTGCATTCCATTAATTTTATTATACATTAGCAACAATTACATTACAATATTTATTAAAAAAATATGTCATGCTAATATAAAAAGAAATATAAATATAGATAAAATAATAAATAAATAAATAAGTCTTAATCTTAAGGTACACAATAACACATAAACATAAGATAATATTCTCAATTAATGATGTAGAAAAAATTTGATGATAATATACTTACCGTTACCATTAGTCAGTATCAAAAGTTATAGGTTTTGTGATAGTTGCCTAGCTTGGCAGGAGAATTGGCAACTGCAGTTATTTGGAGACAAACTGTGTGGGAGGTCTATGTTCAGCGGTGGAGGACATTTGTTAGGCTTTAAATGTATTAATTAACAATATCCAAAGCTTAATATGTACATAATTTTTTTAAATGTTTGGTATGAATAATATTATCATTACATTTACATATACTTGCTATTTAATTAAATCAATTGATATTGTTTTAATTGTTATAGGTATTGTATTTATGCACAGATACACATACTTGATTTTTTTTTGTTAAATACCTTGATATAAAAGTGTACTATATATTTAATATATTAATTTCTTTTAAATATATTATTTCACAGCTTTCCTAAGGAATCAGCTATCCGTAACAGTTGGATAATCGCTACTGGTAGTGCTTATAGGTAACCAACAAAACTTAGCAGTGTATGCTCAAAACATTTTATGCCTCATTGTTTTAGGTGGACTAAATATGCTTAACTTATATAATTTATAATATAATTAAGATATTTTTTTTAAATGTTATAATTTCTTGTTGTAACCATAAGTGATATAAGTTTCATCTTGTTGGTAGTTATGATTTTTGACATTGTTCTGTATGTATTAAAAATTGACTAGCATTGCTTATTTTATTTTCAAATGCTGACATTCTGTATTATTATAATTTGTAATAATTGGGTGGCATGACAATGACAAAATATATACTTACAGATGTATTGATTAAACATGAATCCTCATTTAAAAATGTTGGAACTTTATCTGTACTACCATGTTTTATGCAAATAAAGATTTAAATAAAATAAATAAATAAGTAATTTAAAGTCCTGACCTAAATATACAAATGAATAATTTATTATGCAATAATAATTGTAAAACTGACTGGGAATGCCTACCAATGGGACATTTAGTCCACCCTTGATCCCTTTTATAAAGGTGTTATAAACATTAATGTGTAAATAAATTAAGAAATAAATGTAATAATTATGATAATTTCTATTTAATTGTCATAAAAATAATGTAATAAAGATGTTTTTGACAAGAGATAAGTATTACCTATCTAAGTATAGTTTAGGAGTTGTACCTTATTATTTATACCATTAAAATATATTATATACAAGGCAAATAATATATATATATATATATATACACTCCCTTCTAACGACCAGCACCCAAGAATTTTTGCCATGCAAAAGTATAAATCAAGTTTACAAATGCATATTTTTGAGAAATTCTAAGGCTACTCAAACCAAGAATTACAACGAATGCTCTAGAAAGAACACAATTTTTTTTTTAAGTTTGTTGTTTATTAATGTGATGAAAAATTAATAAATAATCGTTTGTTTATTTTAATTTTATTGAAGTATATTTAATAAATAATTGTGTTTTCAGTTGTTTTACTTAATGTAACATTGTTAATATTTCTAAATGTTGTTCAAACAAAAATTTAGTTCTTTTTCCTTTTTACATTTCAATATATTTTCATTTAAATAGAATATATATCTTTACAGTCTATCAAAAGTCCACTGTTGAACATTAACATTATTATAGTTATTTGGAATAGTTTCAACGCTTGGAAAGCGAGTTGTCAACCATTATTTAGCTGTTATCAGGACAGTGCTGCTGTTTATCTTCTTTGATGTTTCCCTATGTCACCTCATACACCACCCATGGAATGATATGAGGTAGCAGATAATCTTACACTGCATGGTAAATTAAAATAGAATATTATAAAACATTCGTTTTTATTTTATATACCAACATATTACAAAAAAAAATCCTTTGTTGATGCTTTACAACGTATATTAACTAAAACATTTTACAACCTTAACCATTAGGTAACATGATTAAGCCACCTAACCATAAGTAAGTTACCTAAAAAAGGCCTTCCATAGATATCCTCATAGGATGACTTGCCATAGTTGCCACGCCTGCGTGAAAATATGCGTTATGCTGGTTGGCCACCGCAGTTTTTTATTATTTTAAGTTTTCATCGGGAAAGTGCTGCTGCCCCATCCCCATCTTGTATTATTGCTTACGACGCGGGGTAATATCATCCCGTGTACAGACAAATTCTCTTTTACGCCACAACTTGCCGCACACAAGACACTAACTTAGCAAAACATGCAGGAAATCGCGGGAGTAGGCTCATAACCGTGTTTTGTACTACAAAACCTAAGTGGAAACCCTTTCTTTTCGAAGGTCTGTGTTCAGCACTGAACTTGTGATGGAATGGTATGTTAAAACATTATTGATTTTTTTTGTAAAAACAACAAAATTCGACACAAGGAAATTTTTGTTTATTATTTTATATTTTTATTCTCAATTGATATTTAAGTACATACATAAAATATTGTTATTTATTAGCGATATCACACTTTGTGCTATTAGTGCCTTCGCTTAGTGCCGTCGAAATTAAATGTCCAGTAAAATAGTCAATGCGCCGTTGAATACAGAATGATGATTCGGTTTTAATGCCGTTTCCGCCCGTAGTTTTTGTCACAGAATGTATTTTCAAGAGAAATTAATTAATGATCTGAATTATAAAAGAACATTTTTTTATGGTAACAATTAAGTTTTTTGTATGAATGTAAGTGCTGTGAATATAAATAAACCCATAACGGGGGAAATGGAATAATATCTGGTAACCCAGTGAAAGTACCTCCCGCCTATTTCTATCTCAAAAGCATACGCGAATGCTTTATCTAGTCAATTCTCTATCTACGATCTATCTATATTGTGACGTAAGCATCATATTAATCTGTGCACGGAAGTATAGACAATGTTATCAACGAAATCTCAGAAGGGCTAGAATCCAGAGCCGTAAATCCGGTTATAAAAAATAATTGGACACGGCTTAAAAGATAAGCATCCAAGTCAATAAAAGTCACCAAGAAAAATAGGAAAAAAATTCATCACCGATTGAACAATCTGTAAAATAATTTTCTGGATTTTATTTCGTGTTCGTAATTTGTATTAGTTAGTAATATTTTATAAAAAGTAATCGTTATATGTTTTTGATAACTGTACGTAAATAAATAGTTAAAAAGTAAGTATGGAAGATAATTCATCCAGCGATGACGAAGTTAACGATTCACTCACAAGCCCTAAACTGGGTGGAAAAAAGTTGAAATTAAACGACGGTAGTTCCCAAGATAGCATTAAAGATGCAGGTAACAATATTTTTGGGTTAATGATTACTATAAAATTACATGACACTATTGAATCCATTTTGTTATTTTATTTTTTTATGTTATTAGCCTCGGGGAGTAAAAATGAGAATGAAGAAGTCTTAGACAGCGGTATTTCAGCTGATAAGTCGGAAAGTACTAGTAGTGATGATCGTCTAGCTGGATTGGCTTCAGGTCCTTCAAATGAAGTTGTAAATGTCGGTCCTTCTGGCAGTAATGTTAGAGCTATTTTGCTTAATATTCGCCGTCCTAAACGAGGAAGAAACTATAGAAAAAGGAAGACACCAGATAGAGATTCCGATAGCAATGACTCATCTAGAGATTCAGATGATTCGTCTACTGATGAGAATATTCAGCCATCTAGACAGACAGATGATAATTCTGAAGGTGACAGTGATGATATGCAACAATTCATATCCACTATTTCTGAAGGGTCACCAAGTGCGTAAGTACTTACATCCCTATTCACACATTTTGGTTATACAAATATGAAAACCAATTAACTTCTAGGTGATCAAAACTTAAAAGAAAAACTAATTTTAAATGTAGATTGCTTTTTATTTTTCTTTTTAAACAAGTTTGTGTGTATATGAACAAAAATAGACAAATACATTTATTTGTCTATTTTTGATATATACTAAAAATATCTGTATGGTTTTCAAATAAATTTAGTATTTTTGAACCTATATATTTTATAGAATAAGGGTGACAAACGAACACACAGTCCACCTGATGGTAAGTGGTTGGTGCAGCCCATAGATGTTGACATCTATCCTCTATTACAAATCAAAATGCAGATGCGTTGTGACCCGTGAGGATTAAGAATGGAATGCCTCATTTCCAGTAAAAAAGGTCTCAGGTTCTCTACACTCACCAAACGAAACACAGCAGTGTTAAGCTGCTATTTTATGCTGGTATTCTGTGACAGCGTAGTCCTTCCCCGGGCGAGCCGACCCATTCATGCTACAACTATAATACTAATATAGCCGTAGCAGGGCTCTACCACATAAAATGTAATCCTAAAGAATATGTCTCATAGCGCTGTTTATGGCTTAGCTTTCCATTGACATCCGTCGAGTTGGAGGTTGATTTTTTTTTTTAGGAATTGATATAAATATTGCAAAAATAATTGGTTTTCAATAAATTTTTTCTCAAAAAGTACGCATTTCCACATGTTGAAACTTTGCCTGTGTGCTTATAATAATTGTAACCTTTCTGTAAAAAAAATATCAACCCCCAACTCGACAGATGTCAATGGAAAGTCGTACCCTGTTTATGTAGGGTTCTTGTCCGGCTGGGATTCACTTTTACTATATTATAAATTTATTTGTGTAGTTATAGTATCATATGAATAGTATCATTATTATTATTTTATTGGCTCTCATTGATGGTAGTATTTTTTTTAAATTGAAACCTAATGTTTTATCAAAAATTGAAATATTTTTTATATTAAATCTATATAAATTTTATATAAAATGTCATTTACAAAGATTGACTTGAATAAACATTGGAGTGGCGCAGCGGAAATTTACTTGCCCTAAATCACTTTTGTAATGTGTGATATATGAACATAAAATATAATTGTAAATTTGTGTTAAAAATGTGCTTTTCAAAGGATATAATATTATTGTTATATTATAAGCTATTGTTACTGGCAACATTATGAACTTTTGTAGGAAATAAGACATTCATGTGCTTTTTAGTAGTGTCACAGTGTGCACTAATGTTGATAATTTTATTAAATACTAGCGATCCATCCCGGCTTTGTATGATGGATTTCTGGGTCTCTACAATAGCGCCACCTACTGGCTCCAAATGTGAATCTAAACCATCTAGGGACCAATTAAAACACACAAAAAATTTCATCAAAATCGGTCTAAACATTTTTGAATTAGCAGTACTAACGGACAGCATTTGATTTTTATTTAAAGAGATTTTGCTTATCTAGCTTTTCATTGTGTAGACAGAATAATAAGGATAGTTTGTAACTTTACCTTAATCACAATTTATATTATACATTTCTTTATGTTTCTATTCAATATAAATTAAAATTTACGAATTTGTTTTTAAAATTTTGTGAATTTACCACTGTAAATTCACAAAATTTTAAAATTGTAGCTACTGTTTAACAAATATCTGATAGAGGTTTTCACTTGATAGACAATCATTTACAAAGTTAGAAAAACTGGTTTACTAAATGCAGAATTGTAGTAACAAGTGTACATTATAGTAGAATTGCAATACAATTCTGACAGGTGTGTTAAAATGTTTGTCAAAAACATCATGATTGTCTTCAAAGATGGCAGGTGTTTTTAACAATTTTACAGGTTTAATTTATAAATAATTAACAGTGTTACTTTAACGATTTGGAGCTTTATTAAATGGTATATTGTAATCAACAATCATGTCAAATTGTATGTAAAATATTTATTAGTTAAGGTCCAGGTTGACTGTTAGCTCTTTTTAAGCCCCGACGCAAACAGAGGGTCTTATAACATGTTTAACATGTGTATCTGTGTGTCTGTCAGGGGCATCCTAGCTCGCAAACGAATGAACCCATTTAGATTTAGTTTTTTTTTGGTTGAAATATGACTTGATCAAGAGTGTTCTTAGCTACGATTCAAGAAAATCTTTTCAGCCATTTGAAGATCATCAGCCCTTTTTGTTTCGGGGGCTTATATTACTCTATGTTATAAAAAAAACAAAAGTTACACTATGTTTGCTTCATCTTAAAAAGTACAAAATTCTGATGTTTCGTTTTATTCTGCAGAAGTTCAAACAGCTCATATAGCAACTACAGTTTTGACAGTGATGATATGGTTCGGCTACAATCAGGGGAAACCGGTAGTGAGGATGAGCTACCTTGGTCCAATGCTACCGATGGTGACGGAGAAAATGTGCCATCAACTCCTCCTCCAGTGTTGTCGATACAGAGACCCAAGCATAACTATATAATATTAAGGGGTAAGTAGATTTAAAACTGTTAATAAGATAATGATGGGCTGATTTTCGCAACTCTACGTTTTAGCGCATATTTTGCGTTTGGACAGGAATAAAGCAATTATACGAGCCATGAAATCTCCCTGAAGAAGTTCAACAGTCGTTTGATGTTACGAGCAACTTCGGGGAGTGATCTCGGCGTGCCGAGATGTTTAGCCTTGTATGCAGCAACCTCTGGGCATGTTTTTTTTTTTTTTATTTTTTTTTTATACTGATTCTCCTGACATGTGGAATCAAGGACATTATCTATCTTTTTTGTTATATTTTTGCTATTATTTTTTGTTATGTCCTTCTTATTTTTTGTATTATTTTTTATTCTTTTTTATTCATTTTTACTGGTTTCTTTATTTCTTTTTTAGGTTTTTCATTTTTCTTATCTTATTAATTCTAGTACATTATTTCTTAATTACTTAACTTACAATTTCTTATTTCTAGTTATTGTGGGCTGTTTACATAATATATTTTCATATATATTATGTACAGATTACCTTATTTCTACTCTTTTTTATTCTGATTTACAACTTTATTTGCTATATTCTTACAGTAACTTAAAAACCTATTTCTAACATATTTATTACTTATTATTTTATATACATTTTCCTTATCTATCTTAATTCCTATCTCTATTTCTATATCTGTTCGCTCTTTACAGTATATAGGGCACTCCGTTATGAGGTGGATAATGGATTCCTCCTTCTCTGGATCGCAGATACATGACGGGCTCTCTTTGCATTTGAACCTGTATAGGTATTCAGAGAACCCGCCATGTCCTGTCATCACTTGTACAATAATTGGATCCATTACTATTTTTCGTACAATAGGGTATGCACTCACGGCATCCGGGAAAAACACCTTCGTGGTGGAAGCCGTTTCTCCTTCCATATATCGTCGATTCCATTCGTCAAGCGATTCCAGACGAATCTGTCGCTTGACGAATGAAACCGGACACTTTTCGTAGTGCGGCCTACATTTAATTTTTATTGCGGCTTCTTTGGCTAATAGATCTGCCCTCTCGTTCCCCTCCAATCCTGCGTGTGCTTTAACCCAATAAAGGTTAAGGGATTTCCCTTGTTTACATAATTTGGTGATATTCTCTCTTGTTTCTACCGCTATAGGATGGAGGGAAACGTTTTGGACGACTGTCTGGAGGGCAGATCTAGAGTCGCTATATATATTACAGCTCTCTGCCGGGTCTTTGAGAGCGTGCCTACTTGCTTCCAATATGGCCAGCAACTCAGCCTGGAAGACGGTGCAGAAAGGACAATGTCCAAAATCGCCCTGTGTAATAAAAGCATCGGACATACACGATAATTAATTTTCTATTTTATTATGTCAGTTGGAAATACTTTTATAACACGGACTAGCTGCGTGCAAAAATAAACATTAAAAAGTATTGTACTCGACTAATAACATTAATCGCCGCCATCTTCGCCAAACATCATGTGGTGTTGAAAAATGATTAGGGATGCCCAATCGATTATAATCGATTTTTGAATTTAATGTACATTTTGAATTTATTTCGAATAAAGTTTCAAAAAGAAGCTACAATAAAATATAAAATTACCATTTCTTTATATTCTTTTATATTATTCCCTAAAAGTATAATTTAAAAACCTACTATACCTAATGAATGAGGTCATACTCGATTTTGTATAGGTTTAGTATTAGTTAGAATAATGCTGAAGAAAAATATTCGTAAAGATTCAGGATTTTCTAATGATCGTTTAGAAAGGATTGTATTTTACGTCTTACTAAACGATATCTTTCGAGTTTTTCAACAATTAATATTAAAAAAAAAACACTTATTGTTATTTACATTAATTATAAATGTGTTCTTTAAAAAGAGCAATATTGTAGACTAGATACAGACGTTATTATTAATATTGTTACAAATATGGAAGAAGTAGAGACGTACGTGTTATTATAAGTAAAGTAGGATATTGTCATACTTGTTATGGTATTAATATTATCGTATGACAAAAGATGATTTGTAATGTGATGTTTGTTTGTAACGTATGGCTATAATAAATCTTATGAAATATTCATAAATCGTATCGTATTTGGCGCTCCTATTTTTGATGTCACTAAATTGTCACTTGTCACTTGTCAGTCTCTCATGAAAAAAATACGATCTCCAAATCAATTCAAATCGAACATACTAGAATCGAATCTCGATTAAATCAAGCATTAACAGATCTATTTTTGATCAATCGCGACATTTTCAAACATGCCTAATATGGACAGAGAACATAATTATTGACGATAATTTACCGTAAATACAAATAATTGTATAGAAACATCATTAAATAAATAAACATAACATCACGCTTGTATTTCTCAGAAGGAGTAGGTAGAGGTATGTAGTACTAAGTTATACGTCCCATGTAATAGAGAAACAAACCAAACACCGGACACAAATCCAGACTCCGTGCTACTACAGGAAACTTCAAGTTATAAAAAAAAAATTATCATACACTGGGATCGAAGCCAGAACAGAACAGTTTTTCTGTCTGTCACAAGGAACAGATGTTCCACCTATGCAAAAGTATTTCTTGAATCGTTTGAGATATTCTTGAATAAGTCCAACTCGAGAGGTTTTTCGGATCGATTCATTGAATCGATGGAGTGTTCTAAGTCGATATCGGGACATCGGATAAGGATTCTTCAGATCTATATCGATCTGGAAAATCGATTATTTTATTATAAACAATCGATTAAACGATTTCAAATCGACATGCCTACTTTATACTGTCACCTTTCACTTTGTCAAAATTACATTTGTTGGTGTCGTTTACTTTTAGTAATTGTGTCGGTGTTTTGGTGACTTTCGGGACTATATATTGAACATTACGACTTGGCTATTTTAACGGACTCTGATTGTTTTCAAGAATGACTTACTTTGCTGTGATTTTCGGAACTGTGTACCGCTCATACGATAACCTAGCATTCATAAACGGTTATACGCATACGCAATGGAAAGTGTATTTTGTGTAAATCGCGGCTCTGCTGGTGGCTCAATGTTGTTGAAAGATGAACAGAGAAGCAATCGTGCAATATTGCTGTAATTGTATCGTTGTACGCAGAACCATCGGTTGCTGCGCCCATATTATGACCATCATCATTTAGAAGATGAAAAATATACATGAAAGTAATCTGTGTTTTATTTCTAATTCAAACATAATAAATTAATGTAGTTTAAACAACTTATACTCCCAATTAGGTGCTGTTGTGTATTATACCTGTGCACGGCTGCGTCCGCACCCAATAATAATGTATGCAATTAAAGCAGTACATCGACAGCCGTTGAGTGTTTAACTAGTCCCCTGCGCTCCGTATCCGCGAACATAACATTGGCGACGAATTCTTACCCGCGTTTTACAAAAAAAAAATGTCGTTAAGCTGTGGTCCCTTACCAATTTTTAACCATGAATTGCAATCGTGGAAGATATTTAAAACCAGAATTACGCAATGGTTTATTGCAAACGACATAAATGCGTCAAATGATGCTGCAGGAGTTAAAAGGCGAGCAATTCTGCTCAGCGCATTCGCCGATGGTACGTTTAAGCTTGCCTCAGATCTCGCTGTACCAAAGGATCTCCAGCAAATTCCGTTTGAGGATATCCTAACCATCTTGGATACTCATTTCACACCGAAGCAGGTTGGATTTAGCGAGCGCCACAATTTTTATGCCGCTACCCAACAGCCCACCGAGTCACCATCGCAGTGGGCCGCTAGACTGCGCGGCCTAACCGTTCACTGCCAATTTTCCAATGTGGAGGAGGCACTGAGGGACCGGTTTATTATGGGTATGCTGCCAGGAGTGGAAAAAGAAAAGTTATATACGCAGGATATTTCGGGTATAACATTAGCAAAAGCTGTTGAGCTAGCGGAGAACGTACGAAGCGCGCGGGCGATTGCCGCCAGCGCCGCTGCCACCACTACCGTCGTCACCGATGCCACCACGGATCAGCTATACAAAATTGGTCAGGATTCGAAGTGCGCGCGTTCTCGTCAAAAGTGCGCGGTATGCGGTTATACGAGTCACAGTGCGTCGGAGTGTCGTTTCGCTAATTACAGATGTAAAAAGTGTAATATGAAAGGACACTTGCGTAGAATGTGCAAAAAGGTGAATTACGTAAATACGAGTGAGGTGGGCGAGGACAGCGATGACGGTAAGATATTTAATATACGATCAGTTAGGGGCGAGCCTTTAGTAGAAACCGTTACTGTCAATGGCATAGATTTAGAATTTCAAATCGATAGCGGATCGGCGGTGACTGTGATATCGGAAAGAACATATAAATTGCATTTCCACGATATACCATTATCGTTCACTAAAAAGAAATTAGTGAGTTATACCGGTGAAGTTTTAGGTTGTGCCGGCCGTGTACAGATGTCGCTTCAGTGGCGGGGCAAAACGTGTATGCTGGACGTTTATGTAGTTCGTAATGGCGGCCCGCCACTGCTCGGTAGGGATTTTATTGCACGTTTCGAACTTCAACTGACGCCAATACATTATTGTAAGCAAATACAGAATGAAATTGAAACGCTACACATACGTTATCCTCAGGTATTTTCGGGAGAACTTGGGTGTTTCAATAAATATGAAATTAAGTTAACCTTGAAAGAGAACGTTAAGCCATTGTTTTTTAAGGCGCGTCCTATTGCTTTCGCCTTGAGGGATAAAATAGATAGCGAACTAAAGAGGTTGGTCGATCTCGGGGTACTTCGTCCGGTTAGTTATTCTGAATACGCATCCCCAATCGTACCCGTATTAAAACGCGATGGCTCTGTCAGAATATGTGCAGATTATTCTGTTAGCTTAAACAAACAGTTAGTTATAGACCAATATCCATTGCCGACGGTTAATGAACTTTTTTCTAAGTTACATGGGGGCCAATACTTTACTAAGCTTGACCTCTCAATGGCGTATAATCAATTTTGCCTAAATGAAGAATCTCAAA